TACTGTTCAAATTACTAATATTATTTAGTTTCTATTAGTAGTAACTAGTAAAAAATCTACTAAAAAATGTTTGATTGGTTAGTGTATTTTTTCTATATTTCTCCGGATAGAAATATTAGTGTAATCCTTTATTAGTAATAACTAGTAAAAAATCTACTAAAAAATGTCTGATTGGTTAGTGTATTTTTTCTATATTTCTCCGGATAGAAATATTAATGTAATCCTTTACTAGTAATAACTAATAAAAAATCTACTAAAAAATATCTAATTAGTTAGTGTATTTTTTCTATATTTCTCCGGATAGAAATATTAGTATGATCCTTTACTAGTAATAATTAGTAAAAAATCTACTAAAAAATATCTAATTAGTTAGTCTATTTTTTCTATGTTTCTCCGGATAGAAATATTAGTATGATCCTTTATTAGTAATAACTAGTAAAAAATATACTAAAAAATGTCTAATTAGTTAGTCTATTTTTTCTATATTTCTCCGGATAGAAATATTAATATAATCCTTTACTAGTAATAACTAGTAGAATATTTATTCAACAATTTTCTATTATTAAATATATATTTTTTAATACTATATATAATTAAATATAAAATAAATCTTTTACTAGTAATTACTAGTAAAAGAACTATCATAGATTATTCAAGTCTATTGCTGAAACTTTATTTTTATGTCAGAAGTACCTTTGTAGGAAAAAAAAATTACCACTATTTACCACTAATTACCACTAAATTTAACCATCTTTTTTTAGTGGTAAATACTGGTAAATAGTGGTAAAAAATAAATAGCCCTAATGAATATAGCCCTAAGCCCTAGAAAATAGCCCTAAGCTCTATCTCTTTTCAGAAAAGATACATGCGATTTTGGGGAAAAAAGCTCGTTGGGTTGGGTGCAATGGGTCTTAGTGGTAATTGGTGGTAAGAAAATGCTGAATTAATTTTTTCTTACTAGCATTTACCAGTGCGTTGACCCGACGACCCGACCAGATTAAGCGAAAGTACCTTGCCCTAATTCAAAACCTTATTTGCTATCAGTTATTACTAGTAATTACTAGTAAGATCGACCTGACGAGCCTATTGACCCGACGACCCGACGAGCGCCGGACCGAATATAGACTTATAGATAGGGTAATAGATTTGGGGTTAATTACTGATATATATGGATAAAATCCTAGTAAGTGGTTTTATTAAACTATAGAATAGTTAGTTTATAAATCACTAACTATTTTTAAAGGAATACTTATATATTTATTTCTAGAATTACTGATCTTAAAGGAATTAATATATTTTATATAAATGTGGTTAAAGACTTTAGTATAATTCCTTAATATATTATTAAAAGCCAGTAAATAAGGAGGATCTTATATAGGATAGGAAAACCCCATAGGATTAATTAGCTATATAATACTGAATCTATAATAATAAGTTAATAGTCCATAGTGAAGATAGTGGCTATAAGATAGGGAGCTTTGCTATTACTATAAAGACATAATATATACTATTATTAATATAGAGATGTAGGATTTATATAAGTGGCTATACTAAGGAATGGAAAGGGAATTAGGATTTAGGAATATAATAGGGGTTTTAGATAAACTATTTTATAGATTAATTATATACTATAGAAGTATAAAGGGAAATTATTACTATAGGAAATAGATCCTTAAATAATATTAACGATAAAAAGGAGTATCTCTTAAAATTATAGGATACATGAATTTTTCGAAATCTAAAGTTAAAGAATTCGATCTCTATATAATAGATAAAGAAAAGTAATACTCTTCTCTCCGGCCTTTTTCTAATAAATATAGGTTTTTAGAGGGTTTAATAAGATCGATTTATTATCGAAACCCAAATAACTCAATATCCTACATACAGTTATAGATAGAGATATTTACTTTAGACAAGGGGATAATTGTAAAAAGTCCTAACTTTATATAATATTAGAATGAAGTGTTAACAATACGCTAACGATTCGTATATAAATCTCTAATTCTGTAGAAGTAGGAGGTTTGAACTAAGGATATAGATGTAATATAGAAGGTTCTAGAAGATTCCATTCTCTATAGAAATAAAGGTAGAGGTTATATGATATTACTATATTATGAGTTGTGTATGTAAAGATATAGATTAGTTGACGGGTTATTATCCGGTTATTTTGCAGAAGTGCTATAAGATGGGAAAGTCCCCTAGGACTTTCTCATTTCTGCAAGAATCAGTTTTGAAATAATCCACAAGACTACTAGCTCCAAAACCAGTATCGATTCGTTAGTGATTCTGTAGCGAACCGGAACTACCCCTACTTGATATCTTACCGGGTTGACAGGCCGTACGCCTGAACCTGTACACCTCTTACATTCCTGGACTGTGGTGCGGTGGAAGCAGACTACCAGGCATTGTGGACAGGATCACCAACAAATCTTGACGAGCGCATTGTAATAGGTACGATCAATATGGTATTTGCGCTTGGCGCCCAGGTATCGAAAGCGATCCCCCCTGAACAGCGACAAGAGACCGGAAAAATGTACTACAATCGTGCCCAAATGGCGCTTAACGGTCATACGTCGGATACCGCCTCCGTCGATCTTGTCTCATATTTATTGCTCACAGGGGTATTTTTGCAAACAAACAACCTAGCGCAGCGATGTTGGATGGTTGTGGGGAATGCAATCCGAATGGCCCAAAGCCTTGGTCTTCATCAGAAATGTTCGAATATTGAGACGCAACCACTGCGAAAACTCGAGATCACACGAAGAGTTTGGCACGGGTGTATTTTGATGGATCGGTAGGTTGTCTGGATTCTAGCTTCAGCTATCCAGCTGACAATTTGGGGGCCTTCGCTTTTTGTCTAGTGTCCTATCTATGACCTTTGGCCGACCAACGATGATCTCAAACGGCTTCTTTTCGGCAGCACCACTGCCGCTGGCAATTGACGATGAGTTTCTCAATAACCAGGAGGAAGGTTCTGTGATACGGCTAGATGGGCATCCGTGCCTTATGGCGTTCTACTCTGCCCAAATTCAATTCTATGACATCGTCAACGACATTCTCACGAAGTTATACATTGGCCCCGGGGAGCCACGAGAGAGTATGTATGATATTGCTACAGTGCTGCATTTGGACAACGCTCTGGTGACATGGATTCAAAAATTGCCAAGCCAACTTCAGCATCCCTGTCCCCTACATCTGCAGGGTGGACCTTTTCAGCAACTTGGCATCATCAATAAAGCCCGGTACTGAGCTTTCGAAATCTGATTGATGATCACAGAAGTTGTACCTAACAGGTTCTCCAGATTTTTGTTCACGAAAATTCTGCTCTTTCGGCCGATTCTTGCCCGGTTTTGTCTCAAGTGCCCTGATATTACCTCAACGCAGACATCAATCCAGGGACTTAGCCAGCTTACCATTATCCAATGTTGTGGCCTTTGCATAAAAGATGCACACGAGGTCATCGAGCTCGTATACAATAACTTGAACTTTGACACGGTCACTGGACCTCTGCCATCGTGGTGGTACTGCATTCTTTGTGCGACTCATCACTATATTTTTCTAATTTAGCATAACTGACATGAACAGATATTTACTCTGCCGCCACGGTCCTGTTAGCCCAACGGCTCCAACCTGTGCTTGCCGACGATATCGGTGAATACTCTGTGGACGTCTCCTGGAACCGTTCCATCGAAATCTTAGCCGCCTATTCACGGGTCGGAGCGTCTGCAAAACAGTGTGTCGCTGCCCTCAAAGCACTATCGGTCAAAAATCCCTGGGAACCGAGTACCGAGGGATCTCAGCGGGCTCATATCCCCAATACCAGGCATGACAACCTCATGCCACTGTCATCGGGTGTTCTTTGGGACGACGCTGGCCTTGGTGATAGTGGATTTGATTTCAGTGGCATTTATTGGCTTCACAACTTCCCTGACACTCTTTGATGATATACAATACCCGTGAGTTGGTCCCTACTCGCGTCCACCTGCGAATTATTCCCAGCTTGCCTTGATGGCCTAAATGCCATTTTAGTTGACATCGGACAGACTGCCGAAATATCGAATGTTAAGACAGTGTCTTTCTTACGGAAATTTTTTCATAATGATGAGAATGCAAGACAGTTTTCCGACAATCACTGATTTGAATCCCTGAGATTTCCCCGCATCGGGAACTCTAATCAACCATGCAGAATGTCCTGATACTGTCCAGTACATTTCTTTCAAATTGAGTTTATTCTATCTCGCAATGCTTTTTGTGACCGTACCACCCTCGTCGAAATAGTACTCACGTGTCGAGACAGTCGAGCCCACGTTTTCTGAGACAAGTGCCAGGCATCTCGAGAGTTGCTTATCGCAAACCGATGCATCATTGAAACGAAAAACAATTATCCCACTCACAGCTCCGCGAAAGGTGTTGTTGGAATCAGAAAAAAGAAACCTCGAGGTCTTCGTAGACGACAAGGCATAGGTATTGCGTTATATCTCCTCCGCGGACCCGAGTACCTCCGCTTAGTACAGACGTGCACCAGGAGGGGCAATGATCTTCATACTAGTTGCCGTATTCATTGCTGCCATCGTAATTCAGTACCTTTAAATCTAGCTAGTTGTTAAATATCTCTCACTTGCTCAAGGGAAGCAGCCATACAGTTGGTTCTCACGGTCCATGTTAAATGAGTCGGCCGACAACCAGTTTTACGAGCAATTTAACATGGCTGGCTTAAATTTTCGGGAACGATGATTATTGGCCGGGTTGGTGGATACATATCCAGGGTGAATGGCCCAGCTTGCATGGCACTTATCTTCTTTCGGCAATTTGGAGACTTCGTTCGCGAGTGTCCACCAATTGAAAATAGTGTCATGTTTTTGGTTTTATCATGAAAGTTATCGTACTGGATTCTCATGCAGAGGAGTCAAGCAGATTAAATTGGATCATATGAAATTTTCTTGAATTTATCGCATATTCTAATGCAGACTCGGAAGACGGAACAGATGAAACGCGTTTTGCTAATTGTAGAAGACCAAACATCGAACTTCGATACTCTGCCTTGCAGGGGATCCAGGTGGTGTATTTGGGTCGCGGAATGCACTATGGCACGCTGCATGAGCGATATTTGTTTGCCCACCGGTCATAGTATAGCTTCTTGAATCAAAACATTTGATCAGCATGACCTCCTCAGGAGCCATGTCCTTCACATAATAGAAACGGTGCCTTTCATCGGGAGCAATGGCATACTGCTCTCCTTTGACCTCGTATCCTTCGGTCGATTGTGCGGAGTCAGGATCGGGTGCCATCTCTCTTCCATCCTGAAAGTTCCTGGGATAAAGTAGATCCACTTTCACATAATTGGAAGGACGAGTGCTTCGCCAATCGATGACGGCCAAAGGGAAGTCCGATGCTGGGGCCTGGATAGGCCGCCAAATATTGACAATCTGGTATCGGCCACACAAAAGCTCTTTTGCCTCATCTTCTGGAAGATGGCGGCAAACCCTAGTTTCAGCAGCGCTCGGTGTCTGGTCTACATGAACCAACTCAACGGGGCGGCGACTTGACCCTTGAGATTGCCGTCTAATTGTGTGGTCAAATATGACCACTTTCTTCACGCCATGCAACCTGTTTCGGAGAAGGTCTTCAATCTCGGCGTAGTATCTCGTCCTCACTTGTTCATCATCGGTGAATGCGGACTCCATTGTTGGAGACTTGAACAAAGCAAACCCAGCGGTATCGATCGAAAATTCGAATTCATGGTCTCGGAGATTCTCGACTGAGCACTCATGAATTGTAAGCTTGTAGGAAAACCCGGGCCCATCCACTTTATTCCATGGCTTCTTGAAAGGCTCAGTCGCATGAGGATCATACGAGGATGGATCAATATACCGAAACGCTGCGCTGGTCATCGCTTTGAAAGAATAGTGGTGGCGGAGGACGTATACGACTTCACAACGTGTAGCATAAGATTGCTATAACCCGTGGTGGCAGTGGATATATGACTATATACGATGTGATGAAAATGGCGGTGATTAATAATTTCTCTTAGCTTCATGTCATCATGAGCCCAAGGTTTTATCGGAGACTTTACGATTTCTGTCTTATGTAATTCACCCGACGGCTCGGGGAATTGCTACAGACACGGCAGGTTTTGCTAGCTGCACGGCACATTACATAGTTAATGTCAGATTTACATAGTTAACCAACTAAGGTTCCATGCTGCTAGCAAAACCTGCCGTGTCTGTAGCAATTCCCCTAAGAGCAGTTTCACATTCCGAAATCCTAAATTTTGATTACGTGGGCCACATCCCACGGAGCGAAATGGCCCCGATTCCAGCCTTGCAATGTCTCCGGGGAACTTAGAAATACACCGCCAGCTAGCACAGAAAAAAAAGTTTGACCATTCTCTGCTCTACATTTTCTAGCGCGGCATACACTTCCGTCCAGAGCTTTACGGAACTTGAGGTACCGTTGCCACGGCCACTAGAAAAATTGGATTGATCCAACTAAACGAAAGCTTCCTCTAGCCTTGTCGTCGATATTGCATACCGACTGAAATGTCTGGAACTGCGAATACGCTCCTCAATTCGAGCAATAGCGCCGAAGTCATTCTCCGCGGTCCAGTAGAAGCCGATCTACTTTTCTATCAACCACCCAGCGATGACTCTATCCCATACAATTATGTTGAGTCATCACCACCTGGTGAAACTAAGCGCAATTTCCAAGAAATCCCACATACAGTCCATCTGACTGATATCCGGACGGAAAATGTTAAATCCTTTACTCTCGACAAGGATGCTTTCCAAGTTTGCCAAAACATCTCCACGAGTACGGCGTATGGGACCTTCGGCTCAGATGAGGAGATCAAGCGTCTTTATTATCCCGAGGTCGAAAAACTCCTATTGGCGGAGGTCCCAGGTGCCAGGAGGGTGATTATATTTGATCACACAATTCGTCGACAAGATCCAGCTGCGCATAGACAACCGCTCTATAGAGCCCATGTGGACCAATCCGCTAAAGCGGCAGCTAATTGTGTACAGACACATGTACCAAACAAGGAGGAAGCTGCGTCCATCCTGACTGGGGCATGCCGGTACCGCATCGTTAATGTCTGGAGGCCAATAAACGGGACCGTACAATCCAACCCTCTTGCATTTGCAGCAGTTTCTACAGTCAATATGGAGAGGGATCTTGTTCATGTTGAATTCCGCCACCCTCACCGGACTGGAGAGGTGATGCTCATGCGACCTCATCCTGATCACAAGTGGATGTACCTATCGGGAGTGAAAGACAGTGAGCGGTTGCTCTTGAAGTGCTTCGACAGCGAGGGAGGAGGCGCGACAACTGCATCAAAACTGCCGCATACAGCTTTTTGGGATCCAAGGACGCCAGAGGGAGCAAAGATCAGGGAGAGTATCGAGGTTAGAACGCTGGTCTTTGGATAGTGCTGTGACCCATACGATTCTCATAATAGGAATGCTGTAAAGTTGAGGAAGCCGCTTGTTGAGAATCTAAAATCTCGGCTTTGTACCTAGTGACATTTATTGGAATAATCCCAGATTCTCAGAATTCCAGGATAACTGTGTAGCTTTCCTTCTCCCGCCAGTCAGCACTAGATCTAATAAAGCATCATATGTCCCAAACATACTGTAACGGAACTTCTAATGAAGGTGTATTAGAATCTTCAAAAAATGGTAGACATTTCAAGTCTTCCGAACTGTAAACCCCTCCGGAGAGTAGGAGCGGCAGATTCCAACCTGAACCGGTCCTCATTTGGTTTTTCTGCAACCTAACCTGGTCCATTCTTGATTGTTGATACATTGTGAAGATAAGTTTACACAAGGGCCTGTTTTGGGATTTGGTAGGATAAGATGAAAAACGACCCGTCTTGGAGGAGATTTAGCAAGGTCGGACAAGGCGCGAGCCTACACGGAATATGCCGCACTCCTGATGTAACAAGTCGTTATTAAGAGAAGGTAGTAGAAGCAAAGGTAATACGGACGAATCAATTTTACATCGGGCTTTGGGAATTCTGAGCTGGAAGGCAAAGTAGAGCTCAACGCACGAGTCATCTAATTAAGACCCGAATAATTTTGTAGGAATGAGGTGAGAAATTGGTAACTGGCCGCCACCCTTTCATCATCTTTCTTCTCCATCCTGCCATTCTGTGCATGCAGGTCATGCAAAATGGCTACGGTAGACAGCAACTATTAGCTGCGCCCGTCAGCTTTTGAGCCTCCTGGAAATTGAATATTCTCTATTCTCAGAGGGACTTTGGTACTTAATGCTTGCAACAGCTGCAAACATAATTTCATTTCCATGTTGCTTGATCATTTATCTTGCTCAGAGTCTTGTCTAGAAACATGACCGATGAGTTTATGGAAATCTACCTGGAAAGGATGGCATACGTAACTTAATAAAATGCTCACATTCATTATGTCGTCTGTTATTCCACGAACACCGGCATCCTACCTGGTGGCGGGTTTGCTAATAAGTGACAACCGCGCGTGGAGATGGAAACTGTACAAAGGGAACCTACGACACTGATAGTGTGAGAACTAATGCAAGCCCTAAACAATATAGCTGCGTATAAAGTAATTGTTGGTATCACCAACTAGGTACTGTGTACACAGTTAAGTGGGCAGCGTGTATGCTCCAAAAGCAGAAAGCACATTGATTTATGTAGATAGATGTATGTTCCAGGTCAGGTTCCAATACCCCTGAATCCCATAGACGCAGCTTGGCAAGATTACGTACATGTCTTTGCTTATTCTGACGTGAGGATATGTCCCGACAGTTATAAACATTTTTCAAATTCAAGAGATGCACTCTGAAATTATCTACTTGTTTTCATGTACATTAGTTGGATCTGACTCTCTTGCTCACACTTCCACGGTTTGGTGAAAGTATTTGGAGATTTACTCAGAGTGGAGAACAGGAAAATGCCCCACGGATGTTTCCTTTCCCATAGTTTGCTCGCTGCAGTCAGGTTAGCAAAGATAGTCATTTGTTCGGGGAGAAAATGCTGGTTGTCAAGGGTCAATGACGTACGATATCTATAGCGGTAGAATACAGACCTCCCACGAGGACCATAAGGCCGAAAAGGAAAACAGATATGTTGATAATTGAGAGGAGCAAATTTTCTTGGACCACCAATTTCCCTTCCGGATGAGCAGGTACCACATAACTGGTGGCCAATAAAAGGAAAACCCTGACGTGAATAGCGCTGAGGCAATGCCCAACAGATCCGAGAAGAATGGAATTGCCTCAGCAATTATCCAAGCCAGGATGGTAATGAAGGAGATCAATATAATCCAGGTGATCCATCCCTTCGTCGTGTTAACATATCTAGTCACACTCTTCCGGTATACACGACTGTGAATCAATCGACCTGCCACAATGGTGTTGATCGAACCGGAGATGAATATCACAGGGAGGGCCATGCCAAAGGCAACCTTTGATACAATTAAATCTGCGGATAGAAGGGCCGGCGATTTGACCTCTGAACCGACAAATGCGTAAATGGTAGCACCGGTGATGGTGTAAATGACGATTTCTAGAAGACCGAGCACCCAAATCGATTTGGTGAATTCGCGGGGGGTGTGCATTTCATCCATGAACGAGAACTGACAAGTCGCGAAAGAATAAGCAAAAACAATATTCGAAATTGCGACGAATACTTCGGAAAATGAGATTGCTTCTTTCGGCCAAACAGACCAATTCACCGCTCCCAAGCCACCTGTTGCATTGGTGCCTTCGATGCCCGTACCAATTATTGTGATTCCAATGGCGATGATAATCGAAGCAAAATCGATATATCCAAGAATGGCAACGTCAGAAAACGAAGATGGAATAGCCAACAAGAGCAGTATTACAGCTGAGACGCCACTAAAGAGCAGGGAGCAAATACCGCTGCCAGTGATATGCTGGAACGCAATGGTGCCGGTCAAACAATGTGAGCCGGTTACAAATACGAGCTGAAGGAAGAACATTGCTGTGAACAACTCGTAGCCAAACCGGCCCATCATCAAGGTTCCAGCGTCACCATAATGGCGAATGGACGGGAACGCTAATTTGACTTGGCCAATCACGTACGACGTATATATGGCGATGAAGCCTATCCCAACACAGGAGAGGACCCCAACAAACATGCCAAGTGTTGCGAATGCACTGGGAATTGAAAGAGATCCCAGAGCAATGGCTTCAACAATTAACATGATTGTCAGACGCTTCCACCCGAGACGATGGTACTTGGCTTCTCCAGCTTCGGTGAGTTGTCTTTCCATTTCATTCAAACCATCTATTGTTTTCCCCTCCGATAGTGAAACAACATCTTGTGGCTTGACGCCTTCTTGTTGGTCAGATGACTCCTTGTTCGATGACTTCATGGTGTTGCCAGAAGAGCAGAAAAGAGCAGATTGTAAGGGTGGTGGTAGTGTCACAGATGTAAGAATGCTCAAAGCAAATGATAAGAATGTACTGACAATGGTCGTCAGCGTTGAACCAGTATTTATACTCCTGAAATCCCATCCTTCCTCCATCTATGCATTATTATAGGTCCCCGCTGTTCCTGTATTAGATATGGTTTGCATTTAGTATAGGAAACAAATTATGTAATCGTAACTACCTGTAGCAGGCCTGGACTCTGATGGACACCGCCTACGGAGAACTGCTGTACTGCTGTTATGGTCGATGAAGCGCGCATCGCTATCTAATTCGTTAGCTTGATGTAATTCTTTTTACCAAACATCGAGCCCCTCCGGCTTTTCTGACCTGGATCATGTGGACCATGGCGACCGAAAACCTTAAGCGAAATATAGGTTTAGTCTAACTAGGATATATAGAGTTGGCGATGTTAGTGGTAAAGCAACCAACTAAATTTACATCCGAGCGCCTCGATCAGCGGGGTAGACGATTGCGAAAAATCCACTAGCTACTCTGATTATACAAAATTTAACTTTACATTTCTTTAATTTCGCGATTTCTGACTGACTGAATACTCTAAATTGCCCAAAAATGCTAGTACTTTGGGAAAGGACATCCATTTACTTTGCAGCCTGGCCTCGGGTAGTCATTGTGATCCCAGATAACGGCCCGATTGAAATCCGCTAGACTAAGTTGCTCGTTCGACTGTTTATCGGCCGAGTGTCTTAAATCAGCCCGAATGGACTGGTATCACCAGCAAGGTACTGTGTACACAGTTAAGTGGACAGCATGTATGCTCCAAAAGCAGAAAGTAAATCGATTGATGTAGATGTAGATGTGTTTTCCAGGTCCTCGTCCAATGCCCCTGAATCAATACGGCGGGAGCCGTAGCTTAGCAAGATTACGTACAACACGTCTACGCTTTTTCTGATGGGAGGATATGTCCCAACAGGTACCATGGGACTTCTCCAGTTTCAGCCTGCCTACGTCGGTTCTTGGTCATGACAGACAGCCACGGCTTTGATAGGACTTCCGCTTCCCGACAAACTTCAAAGGAAAGCCAATAAATTGAAATCTTCCTCGTCCAATAAGCGATTCCAAGTTGTCCAATCCTTCGATATGGTCCAATCCTTCGCTATGGTCCAATCCTTCGCTATGGTCCAATCCTTCGCTATGGTCCAATCCTTCGCTATGGTCCAATCCTTCGATATGGGTGATACCCCTTTCACTGCAAATATTATGTGCCATAAAGTTCAATTCACCCTCAGAAGCGGGTGAAACTGCTTCAACGCCGAAAATCTTACATCCTCGATCAGCAAGCCAGTGTACTGACTCAGGAAGAAGACCAGGAAAATCATGCTGCCATCTTGGATCGTCTTGAGGGACCCTTCTGTTAAAGCTAAATGATGGGAATTAGCCAATTATTCTAGAACGATCATACAGGATACTTACGCCATGTATAGCAACACCGTGTCACTTTCCTTTATCACCTGTCCAGAAGCTTCGAGAGCAGATTCCATTTCCTTAACACTAATCCCAGCACCGAGCTGAACATGGCTAAGATCCAAGCAAATCCCTTCAGTGAGAAAATCACTCAAAGGCATCTGGTCAATAGATAAGGCCCCCGGCGTTGGGTCGAAATGCTTTGGGGCATCAATATGGGTGCCTAAATGATCAGACATTGAGAAATAATAAGAAGCGGTGCGAAAGGTTGTGCTTCCTGCAACCATTGGTTGGTGCGTATCCCATTTAGTATGACGAAGGGCGGATGAAGCGGGTGGCATACCGCACGATGCTGGAGAGGGCGTGAGAGGTCCACTATGGCGGGCTTGTTCGCGGCTACACAAGAATATCGAACTGCTGTCCAAGGAAATTGCAGGAATACCTTCTCTTTGCACAGGCGGCTGAGAGAGCTAGAGAAGCGGCGTAGATTGACCATGGTTGGCATTTAGGGTGATGATGACTGGACATTGATCAAATATAGTCTCACAATCATTATAGAACCCAAGCTCTTATCAATACGAGCCGGGAGGAGAGCAGATAGCAAAACCAGCATCCTGAAACTCCTAATATCCATTATCAATAGGCCCTTTACGAGGCATTTGGAGATCTCCAAATTCCCATGTAGGGAATTATGTTTCCCATCTTCGCTTCGTACGACACCCTTAGCCAAAACCGTTTGTTACACATTTTTTGCATGATGAAATCTCGAACTTGAAGGAGTATGTACCACATGCCACGGAAGCAAATATAGAACTCGTGTGGTACAGCAGGGATGGCGACGGCATTGATCTACAATGGTGTTGTAGGATGAACAGCATTGTCTATTTCCCCTCAGGCACTATACTGCGCCTAAGCTGTTCTATTTACTATTGGAAATGTGAATCAGTCACCGACCCACCACTTAATTTGTGTCGCGATAGTTTCATTCGATCTATACTCACGAGACCTTAGAGTATTGTGAAATTTGCTCGAGGCGAGGGAAGAATGACACCGGAGTCTAGCTATAGGACAGGAGTACTGTGAGACAGACCACAGCACAAGTTCATGGGTGGAGCTATCGAGACAGGCTAATAACTAATGACCGTTATTTGTGGGAAGTTGCCCAGCACATTATTTTGTCCCACACATCCCGTCCATCTTGATCCTTTCCTGTCTCCTCCAGAAGAACCCCGATTTGATCTGCACTCTTCCCGCTAAAGTAGGATCCGTGAACATCTGAAGTCTTGAGGAGATCCTCTATGATAGATGCAGTCATTTCTGGGTGCGCCTGTAATGTCAAAATTTGCTCGTCCCTAGACACGAATATTTCATGTTTTGGTGATAGCTCGACCAAATTTGCAGGAGGCGTTCGAACAACTCTTTTGTGGAATTTATACATTCTCTGGTATCGACTGTTAGCGTAGATTCCGAGAATGAAAAGTCGCATGACATACCCAGGAGTCAGTAACGGTACTTAAGAACTTTTTGCCCGTTGAATTTAGATGTATGGTGTCAATTCCAACCTGCGAATCAATGGTTGGCTCGAGGTCAGAAGAACTTCCGCAAACTACTCACTAATGGCCCTTCTTGTCTTGTTCCAATTCTCCCCCCAAAAGCATGGCAGATAATTTGGTGACCCCAACATATACCAAGCATTTTGACGTGCGGATACGTTGCCGTCGTTCTTCGAATAAACCTGATCGTATCTTGAATCCATCCGTCCATGCTCTCCTCTGGGATTGTGAGGTCGGACAGTCCCCCAGTGAGAATTATGAGATCGAAGTTCTGCGCCTCTGGAAAATCTCCACCATCAATGGGGTTGAAATTCTCAATACGGGCATCTGGCAGTGATTTCTTCACAAGATTCGTTATCGAAAGGACCACTTCACTGGAACCTTTTGCTTGTTTCGGCAGGTTTTTGAGAATGGCCACTCTCAGCGCATTTGGTTGGCCCATGTACGGCATTTCGATGGAAGACTACTGTAAGCGGAATTCAGCACTACGTCGCTCGTAAGTTCATAGTAGAAACCAACTTGATCCAAGGGGGCAGGTTCTAACTCCTGAGAATATATATACTACGCCTTGGGGATCTGGGTACTAGCCATGGTGAAAGCGCCACACAGAGGCCTTATGTTGTTTCACATATTTGTCTAGTCAGGAAGGTTGGGGATCCCGAGCGAGGTCTTCGGATTCGAGGATAATTGGGCTATTCTTTCAATGGTAATATTTGTTTCGACGGAGTCCACCCACCTTCAAAATACATTTGATGTGGGCTGCGTTGGCAAGCCCTGGGAGGACTATACAACTGAACTCATGGATTACCGGCATTCCACTTGGCAAAAAATTGCGGGCTCATTGAATGGTGCTTCGGACCTGATGGTGATTGGACTCCCCCTGCCCAGCAGAGTTCGACTAGTAAGCCCTTGAAGAATGCCGTAACATTCTGCTACCAAGTGCCGATCTTCAGTCTGTAAAGGATTGGCGGACAAAAAGCGTCGTCCATGAGGAATATAATTTCTCCAAAAGACCGAAAAGCATCAAAACTGGATGTGTTGTCCCCTACAAGCGGCATGATCGGAGTTTCCTCTCTTCTCTATTTTTCGTGTACAGGATATCATCTGGTGCGCTGGTTTTCCAGACCCATCCTTTCCTTGGTTGAAGATTTCAGGACGAAACATTCGTACTCCGTACGCAAAATTGAATTCATGCCACCTCAATTTTTGACAAAATTCTCCAATTCCCCCGAAGAGGTTTGTCGGGGCGGGGAAAGTGTGGGGTAGCACTGGTTATTCACTCAATTTTCACGGCACCCCCACTTACTATCCCACGCGAACACCACCATCCTGAAAAAAACTGACGGTAATAAACTGTTTGTAAGGCTTTTATCGGTCGAGTAATCTAACACGAAGCATGAGACCCGGGAGTATGGCTCCGTTCGAGCATGCCAGAATAATAAGTAAATAATTACACTTAAAAGTACCGAATCGAGATGACAGTAGTTAATACGATAAATCAGTATATTCACTTTTCCTCCAGGCAATTGTATTCCTTCGCCTGTCTGACCTACGCAAGGCTGGTGAGGCGCTTACTGCGAGATTTAGGGTGACGGGCCAATGGCAAGCTTTTCCGAACTTTAGATTTACCAAGCTGACGTGACCATCCAGTTATTTGACCTGACACTGGGAGGTACTAAAGGCCAAGGCAAATTTCTGGATTTAAGCTGATCTGGTATGCCCATATTCCTCTACTGAGTAGTCTGGACTTGTTTTTCTTCCAACGAAGTCATTATTGCCCATATAAATGGAGAGCATTGGCGAGCAAAAGTGGCCAAAAGGGAATGAAGATATAAGTCCATGTCAAGGACATGTGTCTTGTCAACCTGGTAGGGTAACAGCACTTCGTTCTTTATCATGCCGGTGCAACGATATTCGACTTGCTCCAGGTGTGTAAACTGCGGTCACATACAGACTGGTTCTTCTTGTCTATTACTCTCTGACATATTAACAGCATTTGGCGGTGAGTTCCAACCAGGTATGCATGTTCCTGTTGAAAAAAAAGGACTTGCAAATCCTGCTCCTCTTGGGCTTTGTGCGTTTGCTTTTACAAATTTTGTCATGAGCCTCATCAGCTTGAATACGCGAGGGCTAAGCTTTCCGAATGTCATTATCGGTCCCGCACTTGCATATGCGGCTTCGTGCAGTTTATTTCTGGCATGTGGTATGTGTCATATAAGCCATTTCCACTTTGCTTGCGGTTGACCTAGTCGGTAGGGAGATGGCAGCAGGCAACACATTTGGTGCCACGGCATTTTCATCTTTTGGCGCCTACTGGATTGCCTATGCGATCATTATCGCCCCGAACGGACTTGGTATTGAAGAATCAATCAAAGAAACAGCTGGAGCACTGGGATTCTTGACTTCCATGGGGTTCTTCATGATGGTGTGTTTTAATATTATGTCCTAGAAAAGAATGAGCGATATTAACTGGACACAGGGATTTTTCATTTTTACTACTGTTATGCTGCTTTGCACGCTCAGGTCCAGCGTTGCTTTTTTCATCCTCGTCTTTTGCGTTGACATTGCGTATTTAATGCTTGGTCTGGCTTATCTATTTCCTCAAAACAACGCAGCTAACGAATCTTTGGTCCGAGCTGGAGGGGTTTTTAGCTTGGCCTCAGCTTTCTTGGCATGGTATAATGCAATTGCTGGATTGGCAGACGGCTCAAACTCATTTTTTGTCGTACCAGTTGTGCATTTTCCATGGTCTGATAAAGGTATTCGTGATCGACGAAGGGAGAAAGTCGCGCTTACCCATGCGTGAATGTTTCTTGATGGTCTACACCAAGAACATTTGACGACGGTATGAGAGTTACGTCACTACACTGGTCACTACCAGATGTTCCAATTATGTCTGCCCAAATGTCGAATTCAAAAGAGTACTTACAACATTCTTGGATGCTCCGACATTTAACACTTTCACACATCACTAGAGTTTTGACTTAGCCTCTGTGGATATTTGGAACACGTAGTTAATTGAACCTACTTTTTTGAGGCTACTGATGCCTACAAGGCAGCTGGTGGAGTATGGCGTATTCACAAAACGGCTTAAAATATCCGCCTTTATGGGACCGCATCAACCCTGTTGAGCAGCCACGGAAGATGCAAAAACTTTACCAAACAATGCCTGATTCTGACCAGGAAAAGCCATCATACCCCGAAATCATTCCGTAGGTCGTTCAGGTTATCCAGTACTTCTTGATTCCGTCCGCGCGTATAGATTAATCTCGTCTAAATTATGGAACTTGCTGGCCATTCCAATTATACTTTGCAACCCGCATGGTTCTTTACTTAACCTTGCAGTCTTAGTCTAAAACCCTCTAATTTCAGCATTTTGTCCAGTTGCCCTAAACATACGCCCCTATTGGGACGAAGAATTTTAACCCCCGTAATATAATATTTTACGTATAAAAATATAGCCTCATTAGCTTATTTCGCCTATTAAACGCACCTTATAATTGAAGGATGCTCTCTCGCAAGAAGCATGCCGTCCGCAGCTACCATTACAGTGAATATCCAGGGCCTCTAAGCGTCTACCATCTGCATGATTTATCGTACAGTTCGGTCAAAGATGCTGCCAATAAACGGTCTCTAAGTTACTGTCGACCAAATACGCAAGCATTGATGCTTTAGTATCTTCCGACAGGTCATATGTGCGAAGCATCTGTAATGGTATACGGAAGCTATACTTCCCGAATGGCAACAGTGTATATAGCAGGCTAGTTTATAAGTATCAGTAAATATTCATTCTTAACGCCAATAAGATTCCCCACGAATAAATTCGCATCAATCCATACTTCAGTTCAGCTGTGAGCGACCAATCCAATGACAAAATACCACCATATACGAACGGTCAAGTCATGGAGCCAATGACTTGAGTTCCAAAGGCCGGTATCCCCAACTTTTAGCACACATGCAACCAACATCAGCTATCAGATATCTACAACACAGATCAAAGATATATTTCTTGGAAGGATACTGTAGAAAATGGCCTATGGAATGAGCCCGCCTTCTGGCGTCGAAAAGTAGAATAAGCGAACCACACTAGTTGTGAAATGCCGATTGGTCAGACCAACTGCCGCTTTTTCTGGGTAGGGAGCAAGAACAATCAGCCTCACTCTTAAACTGGTCAACTAACGAAAGAAGTGGTCGCGCCTTAGCGTTTGGTACTTTTATATAACCAGGTAAGGCATTCCAAAGTGGCCCTTTTATTGAATTATTTCAGCTGACATATTGGAGGACTTAACCACCACCGAATATACGCATCCGCTTGTCTGGTCTCGCTGGGCTCATCTTCGTTTATATTCGTCAAGACTGGGATATGATGGGCTTTAAAGAAAGGGTACCTTGGCAACTGAATTCCTCTGATTACAGTGCCAGCGAAGAGGCTCAAATCAACCAGTACAGCAGAGAACTCCAAATCCGCCTGTTTTAACAGTTTTAACACTACACTTAGCCCCAGATATGGGACTGCTGAGTCTTCTGATATTCAGGGGATGCTGCGGGTTATTATTTTTACTAATGATAATATCTGCATATGGCCACCATATGTTTCCGTTTTTTGGGTGCCTTTGCGACCGGTCGAGGCACCAGCAAGGAAGTGGTACCAGGTGAGTCGATCTGTTAAGCTTTCGGAAGGCGCTGATCATTACTCGCACTGGCTAGAAACCAGGCCCGCTTATACTTTGTGCTCCACGTGGGGTCGAGGTGCCTCGGAATCGACATTTATTGGCTGGCTGACCAATCGGTTTGATTGAAGAAGAGTGAGAGGAATGTAATAATGGATGTTTTCAGAAGGCGCCAGGAGACCAGGTACATGTTTACAGACCGGAGAGCGAGGTTCTCGGTCGAAAAATGGTCGTGTTCGGGAGTGTTATATGTTTATAAAACTGTGGCGTAGCTGTTCAAAAGCAAACGCCTCAAATAAAATGCAGCAGTTTCAAACCCATACTTTACGAAGCTGAATCAACTATATCAGCGATATGACAACTGTACGACGTACCCTGTTCACCAACACAAGTGCAGCATCTTGGGTTGTTCCTGCTTCTGAGGATTCCTATCTGGCCTTAGACTTCCACAAGCGTCTACAAGTCTATGAACCCACAAGGCTCGTAAGCCTGGAAAGGTTGGCCAATGAGATCGGAGTTGGAGCTGTGTATTTGAAAGATGAGAGTAATAGACTCAAATTGCCCTCTTTCGATATCCTCGGTATATCCTGGGCTGTATTTCGAACAATTGCAGAACACCTCAATTTAGCCCTCGATATCGACCTAACAACAATGAAGCTAGCACTGGCGTTTCAGCCCAGAAAACTGGTTTCTGCGGGCAATCGAAATATCGGAATGGCAGTTACGCGAATGGCATCAATATTGTCATAATTCTAAAAATAAATAGAGCTTCATTAGTGAAAAAGTAAGCTTCAAGAAAAAGGGTTTGTAGCCTTTCTCTCTTAAAGATTTATATACACCCTACAACTACTAATTAGTATCAGACTCTAGGAGAGATAAATCTATATTTATCTTTCTCCTACTTAAAGATAGTAACTCTTTATTCGCCTATTCTATTATCCCTATACGTAAGGAAGACTTTTTAGGTATATTTACTAATAAGATTCGGTTTTCGGAAAACTAGAGTACCACCCACAATATCTGTAGTCCTATTAATAATCTATAGCTAAACTACTTATAGATTACTAGTACTCTGAACTAAATATAAGTCTCAGAACCTAGTAGACCTATAAACGTCTATCTCCGATAGGAAGTAATCTATAATAATATTTAGACCGAGAGTTATACTACATAGAGAGTTTCTATAAAAGCCATTATGTCTATAATACTATTTGAACCTCTCATTCATGTTGCAGCTCAACAGGAGCAGTATATATTGTATTCATCCTCTAAGAACATAAAACAGGACTTTCTCAAACTTTATGAAGCGGACTGAAAATATTCGACTCCTATTAGTTTATTTATTCTAATTCTTACTGTATCTAGATAATATACAACCTTAGAACAAGATTAACTAGCTATAGTGCATATGTGTAGTTTTACTAGCACTCAGGTCGAGCCCACATATTTATAATACCTTTGATATTTAAATAATTGATCCTCTTTTATAAATTTACATATTTTAACTCGATGGACCAAATAGATATAGTTTTAAATAAAGCAGTGACCTATAGCTACTACTTAAAGAGTTCAGTTCTTTATATTATTCAAATTTATTCGAATACTTTATAGCTTCGAATTTATACACTCAAATCATAAAGAGATATTTAATTACAATGATTCATCAGTACAATCATAACAACAACCTAGACAGTCCATTTGTTAACATCAGCAAGCTTATCAACAAAAATAGGGATTTTAAAGAGAATAAATAAAAGCAGATATCAAGTTGGAATAACCTAGCAGAATAGAAGTGGAACCTCCACTAGTTCAATAAGTTACAGCCTTTATTATAAAATTAGAGACTTACACCTAAGACATCAACAAACCCCAATAGAACAAAGACGACTCCACCCTCAGAATTGTATTAATCAAAACCAAACGTACCACCTCATGCACTTAATATACCAGCTAATTTCCTCAACCTCCCCAGTAAACTCCACAATGAGATATATAACTATATCTTATTATATGAAGACTGTATAAACCCTTATTAGTTAGAAGATTACAGACTTAAGCTCAACGTTCTTTGCACAAATAAAACAATCTATAAAGAGACCAAGTCTCTACTTTACAGACAGAATCATTTTGACTTCACTAAATACAACTCTCAAACAATAGCCCAATTCATTAATAGAATTAGGCATGATAGTATAAATCACATCCAACATATCTGTATTAACTTTCCTATTCACTGATATCTCAATAATAAGGATAGTATAGAAGAGAACAGTTATTATACTCTCAAAAAATTCAAAACGGCTTTGCCAATTTAAGAACCCTTACCACATCTCTACAAAACAAAGGTGGATTAAAACCTAGACTAGAGGCAAATAGAGGCCCTAAAATTATTACTGAGGCCTTAGCGGAAATGGATACTCACTTCAGAGCAATATTGTCCCTACAAAAAATCATTATTGAAGTTTATAAAGATGGTATAAATAATTTCACAAGAATAAAGATAGAGAGTCATAGATAGATAATTCGTATAGTAGAAGAAGAGTAGGATAAAAGGTCTTAGAGAAATTTTAAAGATAAAGATCATTTCTATAGTAATAACTACAATATTAATAACTATGATATCAACAATAACAGTGACTTTTAGCGGAGGACAACTAACTAAAGAACAAACCGGATAGATAGCCATATAGAGTCAAAAGTATATTCTATTTGCTCTGAGACAGTTCATCGAACCAACCTTGAAACATGCTACATATAGCAACAACACTCATAAGTGAAACCAAGTGATTCACTTTCATAAATTGACATACTCTAATTCAATAAATAAAAAGATTTACTTATAAATAAAGCATTAATCTATGACTAAAAGAAATTTATCTCTATATTAGAGCCAGCCTCTCTTACAAAGATTATTTAAACCGCAAAAGAGCATTTATACAGTAATCACTCACCTAAATTAATACCGCTTTATATTGTAGCAGTCTGATTCCCTTATACACACCTAATCCTAGAGCCTTTATACTACCTAGTCAAGCTCATCCTAGATCCCAAATTTAATAAAGCATAAAGCACTAAAATCAAGACTCCTACTAAGACCTACCCTATCAAAATAGATATACTATTAAATTTCATCAAC